GGTAGTAAGCCGATTATACTTTAAAAGGAATAGGAAAACACTCTTTTTATCTGGCATACTGGAAACACGTTATCTATCTGATGTTTATATTTATTTTCTGAAAAATATTTAAAGGGAGGAAAAAAACATACTAAAACAAAGATAAAGAAAAAGATAGTTTTTTGTCCCATGGATAATGCTTGCATACTATCTTCTGATATCAGTCTCCATCATGTATGTACATTCACGTATATTCTTTATCAGGATGACGAGTTAAATCAAGATATCCCTCCGTCTGTCTGTCTGGATGAGCGCCTAAATTTCGGAAAACTGTTGAGCCCACATTGTCTTGGTATGTAGACTCTTCTAGTCCCTAGACTGTTGTTTATTTTATTTCTTTATTCCTTAAAAATAAAATATGATTTATTATGATTGTGGGTCGGGTATATCCGAATGGTAGGATTAATAAAATATGATTCAGCCAATTATAAAATCGCGGGCACTATTTATTTTAATTTAGTTATTACATTTTAAGAAATTATTTATTCATCACTCCATCAAATAAAATACAATACCAATCAAATCTTATAACAAATCTGATTCCTCTATACGCGTACTTACTCAATAGTGGTTTTCAAGCAAATTCCAGCTACTAAGAGTACTCATAATGCAAGTATATTGACTTCTAAGCTACAAATGTAAAAAAATATATTGACTCTTGAAAAGTTGGTGAATTCGAAGAATATCATAGAGTTCCATGCTACTACCTGCAATAGCATTTCATGCTGTCATAATCACGTTAGCGTCGATTATATGTCGTTGCAAAAACGTTGTTTTAGTTTAATCAACGTGCTAAATAGCGTGCCTGCTCACCTTAATAGGTTTTCCTGACCTACCCTGTGTTGTCCTGGCTGCCGTGAACATGAGCTGCAATTGCATGGCCTTTTGGCCACATACACATTTAAATGCCACCGCGGTAATTTTGCCGACAGGGCACTCGATAGGACCGTGTCCGAGCTCCATCCAATTGTGTAGGATAGCCGGCTGCATTCGCCTGCATTTACAAATGCGGTTCGAAAATGTTGCGGTCGAGCTGCTGACAAGCTTCAGCCAAACTGCAGGCCACGGTCGCGGGTCCGCCTGCATAACTCTTATGTTTTGCAAAATTTACTGATTATGTTGTTGCTTTTGATGTGTTACGACGAGGCAAGCTGGACCATTGTTTCGGTTAATTAAAATTTGTGGTTCGCCTGCACGTGTTGTGCGTAATTTTCCCTAAATTAATGAACGCCGCCGCCGAGGATAATGCCATTTGGACGACGGAGCTGCAAACATGGAGAGGTTGCCGTAAGCAGCTTAAATATTTAATATGCACAACTCCATTGGCGCTGCTGCATTGAGCATGAAATAGAGGCACTTGAGTCTCAGATGCAGCTTCTCGCAAGACAAACGGCTTGCAACTTATCTGCATGGCAGGGCACATTCCTGGGCAGAACCAGTTTGCAGTTAGCCCTCCTCTGCCCTTTGCTTTTTTCAAACCGAAAAACCAAAGTCAGCTCAGAGCAGAGTAAACTTTTGCGCCAGGATGATGATTCATGCCATACCTTGGTCGTCTCGTTCAACACGAACAGTGGTGCTACAAGTATTAAAATTAAAATTACATTCATTTCAGAAAGATTCGCTCAAGATCAATCGAACATTTTTTAAGTGAAATTAATTATTATAATTCTAATTATTGTAATAATCGATGAGTTTAATTGTAAGAAGGCAGTTAGCCTTACGTGTGTAAGCATTAATTTTATCTGAATTCTCATGCCACACTAATTCTTTATTTGTTATTTTGGAAAGATATTGCTTAGAATTGAAATCTGAGCTGTCCACCTTTAAAACCTGATTTATTTTCCATTCGGCAAAAATTGGAAACTCCACGAAATAATTATTAATTGTTTAATTAAATATCAAAGTTAGATGTACATTAGTTTAAAACAAAAAAAGTTCTTTAATTTTTATTGATTTAAATGGGGTTTTCCTTTCGCTCTTTAAGATCTAATTTGATTTACAACATCACCAAAGCTGTGGAAATTTTTAATTAATTTTGATAATTAATTTTTTGTTAATTATTTTTCTTCGGAGGAAATAGATCGGTCAGTCAGCGCGTTGCTTGCGTTTTAAATGTGTTTGTGCTGCGACAACAGCTGGGTCTGTTCATTTTTGCGGTGCTGATTCATTTAAATTAAATTGACTATTTGAATAACTTGCAGTATTTACAATAACTTTCCTGCTGAGCAAAACAAAATATTAATCAGCAGTTTAAATATACTATTTTAATTCTTAATAGCCACCACACTTTTTCTTGCAGGATATTAAAAAATGTTCATAAATTTCTATAGCTGCAATTACTTATTTAACAAAAATAGTAGCATTTGGAAAAACTCCGATTTTTCTTGGCTCACTAATTGGTATTTCGAGCCACTGTACTGCTCGTTGCAATTGCAGACGCAGGCGCAGACGCAGGAGCGTCCGTCGTGTTCACGGCCCGGCCTTTGTTGATACAGAGCCGTTCCATGCGTTACTGTCCGATAACTCGGTGTGCGTTTCGCTTTAATTTCTTCGTACTTCTTTCATTCAACAACAACATGTCACAAATGGGCTTAGCGCTTTTTATTTTTGTTTTTTTTTTTTTTGCATTTTTTTTTATCGCAGGGCTTGTCTGCGCTGGACAGAGAGCCGACATTGTGAATTTTTCGCTGCCGATTCCCACGCCACAAATGCGGTTTACAGAAGTTTTGCTCAGTCTTGCTCTGCCCACTTTCAGCCTTTTTTCTTGGTTATTGTTTAAGGCTGAGCCCAACCCACGTAGCGTGTTGCCGTCTGTTCGTCTGCCCGTCTACTTTGAACTCATGCGCGCAACTATTTGATTTTATGCACATTGCTTGGCAGCCGATCACCGATCACTGATCACGGGTCAGAGGGCGTGCACAACACGCCGTATGCATAATACATATATTTTATGGGATCCTTGGACATGTCTAGTACCTTTTAGTTTAAAAGATGAACATTTTCCAAGCCTAAAACTATACATATCGCCCTCAATTTAAGAACAAATTGGGGAAGCACAGTCCTGATTCAAAATTGTTAAAAAATGTTTTCCTAAATTTAGAAAACCCCAAAAGGAGTACATTTTAGTCTCTTTTAAAATACCTGTTGGATTACAAAACGAATTTTTAAAGAATTTGTTCTTATTTAGTTCTATAAAATATAACTTTTTAAATCTAAATGGCAAATTTAATGCAAAGGTACGCTTTAACAAAAAGCTCATCCCAAGTCTGGTAGCTCTAGCTTTTATACTTTCGGAGAAGCATAGAGCAGCGAGCGGATGTCTAGAACAACTTGTGCGATTTGAGTTACAAAACTATATGTTTTCATAAAACTCTTTTACTCTGTGTCCATTAATAACAAATGAAACGTTTGATACTACACAACTAATTGTAAAGTCAATAAGTTATTAGAAATCAGAATTTTTTATAGAAAATTATAATTCTGCTCTATGATGTATAGGTTATAGAATTGCAAGTAACTTTGTACCTCTCTGTCTCGCCTATATAACTATCTCACCAAAATCAAATTTTTCTATTTATCGTACATATTTATAACAACAAAGTAGTAGTAGTAAAAAATTATCATCGCTTGCAGATATTTTCAATAGTCGAAGTATTTATATAACTAAGGCGTGACGGGTATTGTCTGGACTGCTATATAACATACTTGTAATGCGTATGAAAATTGTAATTAACCATGCGCGTGCACTGTTCCACAACTTTTAAACTGTCTTGTTTGGGGTGAATAACATAAATAAAATAAAAAAGGAAAGGTCATTTTGTTTCTGGTGTGCCAATTTGTAACGCCAAGAAGGAAGTATGTACGCTATACTTCCATTAATGCTCTCCTCTAGGGCCTTTCATGTATTTCTGAGGAAATATTTGAATCTTGGCACATAGTTAAGAAATATTATTTTACAGGCTATTAACGTTTCTGATCAAATGGCCACCTTTGTTGATAGTTGATGGAATAAAAATGAAATGAAAAGAATTTGTGGTGAAGAATATCCGAGCTAAAAACATTTAATTTTTATTTCTTTGCTATAATGCCACTGCATTTATTATTTGCAGTTGAAAGAAAGGGCAATAATGTCCTAAAATGCTTTTTATTGCTGCGGCCCAAAATTATTAACAGCAATATCAGAACATCTTGGCTTCTCATCGGGGCCACATTGAGAACTGATTACAAGATTAAATTCTATAAAAAAATTAGTTACGTTAACGTTTTAGGTGTTGCTGCCTGTGGGTTACTCACCAGGTAATTGGTTCTTCTTCAGCATACATTGCTCATAATCAAATATACATTTATTGCTAAACTGTTTGTAGCATCGTCCGTTATGGCCACAAACTGGATCAAAAATCTTAGGACATGCAGCACTACAAAACTTCTGAGCGTCGGCGACACATATGGCCCAAGCAGCTACATTAAATAATTCCTCTCCAATTCATTTCATCATCAATATACACCGATACATACCTGCGAGCAAAACCAGGATGAATTTCATCGTTCTATCAAGTCGAACTGGAATATAGAAGTGACGAAACTGGAACTGTTCCGAGTATTTTAAACAACACCAGCTCTTTCTAATAATTTGCGTTTAAATTTAATTTGTATACGCCCATTAATACGTAACTGTGCCAAAAGATTTGCTCGAGGAGAAAGATAATATAACTGGTGGGGATATGCAAATGAAATCATTTCCACATTTCATAAATTAATTGAATTAATTTTTAAAATATATATTTTCTATAATTTTTTCGTCTTTCGTGGGAGTAGGTTACCTACGAGCAAGGTATTTAAGAGTTGAGCCCGCTCGACTCTAGCATTCCTTTCTTGTTTTGATTCAACTACAGCCTATTAATGTTTCTGATCAAATTTGGCTCTGCATTGGGAAGAAGATGTTTTTAAGGTTCTCTTTAGACTTTCTTAGCTAATAAGTTGAAATGGCCGCCTCATTTAATTTAATTTAATTTAGTTAATTCATTTGGTATTGTAGCAAAGCCACTGCATTTGCTATTTACAGTTGAAAGAAAGGGCAGCATTGTCCTAAAATGCTTTTTATTGCTGTGGCCCAAAATTATTAACAGCAATATCAGAACATCTTGGCTTCTCTTCGGGGCCACATTTAGAAGTGATTACAAGATTAAATTCTATAAAAAAATTAGTTACGTTAACGTTTTAGGTGTTGCTGCCTGTGGGTTACTCACCAGGTAATTGGTTCTTCTTCAGCATACATTGCTCATAATCAAATATACAATTATTGCTAAACTGTTTGTAGCATCGTCCGTTATGGCCACAAACTGGATCAAAAATCTTAGGACATGCAGCACTACAAAACTTCTGAGCGTCGGCGACACATATGGCCCAAGCAGCTACATTAAATAATTCCTTTCCAATTTATTTCATCATCAATATACACCGATACATACCTGCGAGCAAAACCAGGATGAATTTCATCGTTCTATCAAGTCGAACTGGAATATAGAAGTGACGAAACTGGAACTGTTCCGAGTATTTTAAACAACACCAGCTCTTTCTAATAATTTGCGTTTAAATTTAATTTGTATACGCCCATTAATACGTAACTGTGCCAAAAGACTTGCTCGGGGAGAAAGATAATATAACTGGTGGGGACATGCAAATGAAATCATTTCCACATTTCATAAATTAATTAAATTAATTTTTAAAATATATATTTCTGCATTGGGAAGAGTACGTTTTTCAGGAACCTTTTCCAGCTTTTTCTAATAATTTGCGTTTAAATTTAACTTGGATACGCACATTAATACATAACTGTGCTAAGAGATTTGCTCGAAGAGAAAGATAATATAACTGGTGGGGACATGCAAATGAAATCATTTCCACATTTCATAAATTAATTGAATTAATTTTTAAAATATATATTTCTGCATTGGGAAGAGTAGGTTTTTCAGGAACCTTTTCCGAGTATCTTAAACAAACCAGCTTTTTCTAATAATTTGCGTTTAAATTTAACTTGGATACGCACATTAATACATAACTGTGCTAAGGGATTTGGTCGTTGCTCGAAGAGAAAGATAATATAACTGGTGGGGACATGCAAATGAAATGTTAAAATGTATGCAAGATTGTGAGTAATTTAATGATTATCTACAGAAGGTTTTTGAAATGGACGATATTCCTTTTTGGGACGGAAGTATGAGTAATATTACAGCTAATTGCGACATTTTAATTACTGCATTATCACACGGATGTTTAGATTCTTCAAAAGCTTTGTAATTGCCACATTACGCTCAAATTGAGGAATGTGATATGATTTCGCATTCCATTTTGTGCAACATTTGGTGTCTCTAGCTCTTTTAGTCTCTGAGATCCAGGTGTTCATCCGGACAGACAGACAGACAGACTTGGCTAGATCGACTCGTCTTGCCATGCTGATCAAGAATATACTTATAGGTATAGTTTGTGGGGTCTGTAGATTCATGTACAGAGTATAATCATGCCTATCAGGAAACAGAAGTGATGATACACAAATGTCTTGAATTCCATAAAATGGGACAGGTAGCAGGAACATACTTTTATATGCGAAGCTCCTTTTTTGAAAACGCGAAGGCTGGCACAACTACATACACGTACTACTCGCATAAATTGCACGAATTCGCGAAATTGGCCGCCGCTGGAAGACAGAAGCTGGTGGCCTCATCAAAGACACATATTGGATTTCATATCTCACTAGCAGGCTGACCTTTTCTGGTCAAAAACTGCTTTTGTTGCTGCTGCTGCTGCTGTTGATCTTGTTCTTGCTGTTATTGTTGCTATGACTGTGTGAAGTGATCGAAGTGAATGGGAATTCAAAGCGCAACTTGGCGCAGCTATGCGACTTAATTACATACAAGAGGCAGCCCTAGTACCAATTTTAGAGCACCACTTCAAAAGCCCATGTAAATTAGCAGCTCTCACCGTATTCCGACTTCATGCAGTCCCAGTCCGAGTTACCTGCCCTCTGTCGCATATTTATTTATAGAAAATAATGAATTGAACAGGTGAGATCGAGAAAATGATAAGCATAGAAATTCCTGCATGCAACTGCCAACTCGCGCACATGGTCGTGGCAGAATTCAAAAGCCAAAAACGTTGCACTGGAAGCCGCCAGTTGCCACACTCAGAAAAACTAAAACTGAATAGTACTCTTACAGCAGATAAATTAAATTCACAATATTTTCAAATTTAAATCAGCAACATAAAAGAAGGGAATTGTTCAAAAAACCTAGATTTTTTTATTATTTGCAAGAGGAGGAGTTTTAAAGTATTGAAAGAGACACCTGTTTCCAAAGGGTTAAAGGACATGCGTGACTCTTTTACGCTCACTATTTTATGTATGTATTTTAGCTCCAATAGGTTTAATTCGTGGAAAAATCACCCTTAGACGGATTTATTTTTAGAGTTATTTAGTACTAAGAACGTACGTTTTTATTTCAACATCGTAAGGAACTTTGGTGTTATGTTTATTTATTGTACACACTATGCTTCATCCGTTATCTGAAGCTTTACAGTAATGATTGGTATGAGTGCACAAAGACTTATTTTAGTTGGAAGACTATATTCAAGAGTAAAGCTGGCACTGCCAAAACGTTCTACTCCCCGATACAAATTTCAGACGTACAAGTATAGTTGATTGTAATTTTTTCTGAGTGCAGCCCATTGGCCACTCGGGCGGCCACTCTGAGTTCGACTATGACTGCGATTGTGGATGCCGCAGTTGCAGTTGCAGTTGCCATTGCGAAATGAACGAAGGAGCGCCGCAAAAAGCAATCCAATTTACTGATTTATTTCTTATTTTACTTTGACTATGCAACAACAACAGCAACAACAACAGGAACAACGAGAACTGCGGCAAGGGCAGCTTCTGCAGCTTCCAGCGCGTTTGCGAGCGCTGGCTCAGGCTCAGGCTGAGACTGGGGCTGGGGCTGAGGCTCAGGCTCAGGTTCAGCCTGAGCTCACAAGCAGTTGATGTAGTAAGTGGGCTTTGCTGCTTGCTTTGATCTTGATGCTGGGCCAACGACGACGCCTGACAACGATGACGAGGCACAGCCGGCAATACAAAAGGCATGCCAAAAAAACCAAAACGTACCACAAGCAAAACAAAACAAAATTAAACGAGAGAGAGACCGAAATAAAAAGCAAAATACAGCAAAGGCAACGCCACAACGACAATTTTAAGATTCGTGTGGGCAAAAGTTGTTGGCAACACAGATGCAGATGCCACGACATTATTTTTGCCACTTGGTCTGGGAGCTGGCGGCCACGATGCGAAGAAGAATGAGACCAATACCGAGACCAAGACCGAGGCCGAGTCCAAGACCAAAACCAATGCCGAGGTGGAATCGGAGTCGGTTAGCATCTTTGTCGCTCATGCTTTATTTAAGGTTTCATGTATAAATATTTTTATTTATTGTGCAACACATTCGCACACGTTGTTGCATTCGCAGTCCGATTCACCGTCAGGATGTTGCGCACGATGCCAATGCCGACGACAACGACGACGAAGACGACACTGGCAAAGGCAAAGGCAACGGCAACGGCAACCCATAATGATGATGATGTGTAAACTCGCGGTTGGACGCTTAATTTCTACCTTGGCCAAGGCCTGCATTGCACGCCAAGATGGGCTTACTAAACCCTTACATACCCTTACCCTTACCCATACCCATAACCATACCCGTGGCACTATGTATGTGCATGTGGATGTGCTTATGGGTGAGTGTGCTGTTGCCAAGTGCACTCGGTGGTGAACTCGTTGCGGCATGTTCTTTGCCTTATAGCAGATGCAGCAGCTGCTGCTGCAACATTTCAAGCTCGCTGTTCAAACTTGGCTTCGAGAATTTGGTAATGTTCAACGGAAAGCGCAATTCTTTGCAAGGCTCTATCAGTTCGCTGGCGATTCTGCAATATTTTCAGAATTTAGTATTCCCATCAAATTTATCATTATAGAGGGGTCGGTTGTTAATGGGACAGATACTTGTTTTACTCCCATTTCGATGCATCTTGCATATTGTGATAGCTCGAATATAATTCTTCTATAAATAAGGTGAACGACTCTCTGCCATGTTCCAAAATAAATGCTTCTGATGTCTTCAAACTTCTTAGGCCAAGGGCTAAGCAAGCTATAGTATATCCAGCTTTTAATAATTGACTTGATCTCACATATCTCTTTTTATTTTCAATAAGAAAACTCATACTATTCTTATCAAATATGTAATATAGCGTATTTAGAAAGCTCTTGTAGTACTGCCCAAGTTTTAACGTACAGCAGAATCATAAAAAAAATTCCTAAAATTAAAAGAACAAAGGGAATGCTGAGTGCTTTGAAATTCCATGTTTGCTGAATGGTGAATGCCATTGTTCTATGCTGTGCGATTAAGACCCAAAACATCAAAAAATTTGAATTTTACAATATTTTATTATTCATGGTTCTTATACTAATACTGATTTGCTTTTTTATTATTTCATGACGAAATAATACATTTTTATAAATCAATCTTTTAAAGGCAATTTGAGTGAATTTCACTTTTTCACAAATTAGTCAAAATTATAAAAAATAGTATTATTTAATAATTCCAGACGCTATTTATTTGTTTGTCTGAGACGAGGATGATAATATGTGATGTTTTTTAGGATGTTGGCATCCAAATAACACAGTCAGTGTAAAATGCTTAATTTTAAAAATAATATCTTTTGGAACGCTTTTATGCAGCTATAACATTTAAACAATCTCGATATTCATGGCTTTAATATTATTGATAAAAATGCTAGATTAGTTATTAGAAATAAGAAGATTAGAAAAGAATTACAAATTATTATAGTTCTCAGCAATGTTAATGTTATTAAGGTAAACAATATTTACAATTAGTGTATATATTTTCAGTGAAAAACTATAGTCTTACTGCACAATTTTCTTTAATGCGCTGCTTAAATTTTACGGACAAAACTTTAAGTAACGATAAAACATTACATTAAGACCCTCCCCTTGCCCACCTATTTTAAGAAGGATGTTATGTTCTTTGTTTCTAATTTGAAAGTTAGAGATAGCTTTTGAAATTAATGTTTCCCATCAAGCACCAGTCAGAGGCACTGTCACCTCTCATAGTCATTATAATGCGACATATTTGGTCTTGTTACCTCAACTTAGCCCCCTCCCCCTATTTCCCCAGTCATCTGTCTCATCACTTGGCGAAGCTCAGTAACAAAAATCGATTTCATTCATACGCAATTGTGTTCAAATCTGTCAATGGCACGTTGTCGTTAGCTACGAGTATAGCCCCTGGCCTGCACAAACACGCACAGACACCCACAGACTGGCATGGAGCCTGGGCTGTCCAACAATACAACTGCCATCTGCACACATCTATGCACCCATAGCTATATACGTAGATACATACATAGATACAGGTGAGCGCAGCACACTCATCACGGGCATTGACAAGTAGCTGTCAGACAAAAAACGACA